CCCCCCTGTGGTATACATAATGAACGCACAGCCTAATATGCTGGATCAACAGTTGGGCGTACTGTTTACATTTCCAAAAATCAACTTTTGAGCCATAAACGATTGGACCAATTTGAGAGCAGTTGCTTTATCAGTTCAGAAGATATAATAAATTAAAGTTGTTAATTTTTTTTCAGTAAATGTAGGTTGTTTGGCAACATCTTGAATTTCCAAGAATTTCATGTTCGTGATCAAAACAAATAACGTCATCGTCACCTACAGTACACAAGGGATTCTGTATTAATATCGGATAGCAAGCTTACGTATTTTGGAGGCTGCTTTTTCTAAGCGACGTTGCTTTTGACTTTAAAAATCTAGTGTTCCAACTAACAGTCCACTTTTCTCTTTATTCATGCTACATGTACCTAACACTAGGCTACGTACGCATGGATGAGTATTATGCAAGAGCTCAAGAGCTGCAAAGTTCATAGCAATTTGCAAACGAAGGTTTGACTTTCTAAACCTAATCTGATTCTTGAACAACTCCAACGTAAAAAGCTATGGAAATAAATGGAACCTTATGATTGCATGGATAACAATGAGAAGACGTACCTTTTTACCATTCACAAAGAATAATATTACAGACATCTTTACAGCATAAGGTGTACCTCAGCTACGAAGGACGAGGCACTTTGTGTTGTTATTTGCAAGCAATTCTAGACCTTTAGACCTTAGCTATTGAACTAGCTATTAACCAAGAGATCAGCAACACAAGAAACTCAGAAATCCTTTGTATACACAAGTATTACTGAACGAAACGCAGACGATTGAACGTAGACGTGGTTCACAAAGACGCTTGACACGTGACCTAGGAGAACTGGACGAGTTTAACACACAGGAAGCCCAAGCAAGGTTAAATTTCACAAGAAATAAAGTCCCACGATACTCGATTTTTAGAGATAAAAATTTAATATTATAAGTAATAAAGAAGTAATAAAGAAAGAATTAGTGCATTATAGTAGTGCTCGTCGAGCCGTGGCCACTGCAATAAAGTTTTTAACATTTTTTTAGGAGATTGTGACAAATTTGATGTGTTTGATGACTTTCGGTTAGTTGATCAATTGGCCTTCATAGCAGTGTAGAAGAAAGCGGAGGTAAATTAATAATAATAATGAGAATAATAATAATAATAATGGGAAGTTCTTGTATAGCGCTTTTATACAACGTCTCAATGCGCTTTACATTAATGAACAGTGGAGGACTTTACGGGCTGCATATTTAGGCGCTAGTAGGAGCCTAGCCTCCTTTGCAGCCGTTCTTGGGGTCGTCACACAACATTTCCCTGGAAACGTTGCGTGACGACCCTAAGAACGGCTGCGAAGGAGGCTAGTAGGAGCAGTGCAGCTTACATTCATGAGTGATTTGTTAGTACATTATTGTTATGCCTCCAGACAGGGATAGGCTGTTGAACCGGGAGACAATCCCCTACTTTTACAAGAATAATTCAACAGATTCTTTTATGTCCCCCATTTTACTGCAGGTTAGGAAGGGTTGGGAGACAAGGCCTACGGTGTAAAGTCCTTATCCGAGAAGACTTGAAGGTCTAACCATTTCCAGGTATGAGAAAGACATAAAATTTCTCACATCTGCTTGCAAAATGTGCTGATCTTTTATCAATAATATTTTCTCGCTTTGTGGTATGAAACATAAAATCATAAAAATTGAAATCTAAACAAATCTAACATTATCATAATCAAAGAGCCTTTGTTCGAGTAATTGACTGCCGGCAAATAGTAATGTTCCCGCGTAACTAAATAAATGAAAATAACATCACTATATAAATAACAGTTGGATCGTAGAGTGACCTCAAGACGTAAAAACGTCTATTCGGAAATACTGCAATTTCATTCCTTGTACATCGCAAACGTCAAATCATTGTGGTTGGTTCGACAAAAGAAAACTGCAAATTATGTTTAGGGATATTTTGTTCTATGTGAATGGTAAGAAGGTAAGTAAACATTTCTAAAAGCCATTGAAAGCAGAAACTTAGTTAATTCCGAGTAAACATGTTTCGGCAATGTTCCTGCCATCGTCAGTAATTGAATGAAAGTAACGGTGAGTACGAATGCTGGTAAATATAAATATAAATAACCCAAGAAATCCAAAATGAAAAATTTAGCTAACTTGAGATGCTTGTTCTCATACAGTCTTTTGCTATTCATAATCGTATTTATATTCGTTACTTACTTTCTTTCATCAAATTCAGTACTGGCAATGGCAGTTGGATTGACAAATTATGTAAAATCAAAATTAAAATAAAGATTTCGTCTTTTTTCGTTATTAAGATATTAACTTAGTAACTGATTACTCTCAAAGTCAATGTCAACTAAGTAAATTTTTAAAGACATTTCAGAGTAAAATAACGCTTCACCGACAATTCCTAATTTTGTTTGTCTTTTTAGGTCGTAGTTAATGATTTGCAGCCCCAAACTACTTTGCTTCATTTTCTACGCAACACACGTATCCAAAACTAGTCTAACTACCAAATGTCTATTTTTTTATTGACATAGGGGTAAAATCCCCATTCATTGGTGAAACACGACATCCCTAGGCCTGATAGAATTCTGCAGTACCCAGAGCTTTTATCATTTCAAAGGGTCTTCAATACTCAAAGGACAAAAAAACACCATAGCTAGAAAGAGCGTATTAAGATCAGTAAAACGGTAAAGTTTGAAAGAAATAAATTCAACTCGTGAAGAGTACAAGGACAATGGCGCTAGGAGGCTGGGAACTATAGCCCCCAATAATTTTGCCACTATTATAACCTGCAAAGCAGGCGTTCTCATGTGGGTTTGGGAAAAACCGGGGTTTTCAGAGGAACTTTGGAAATTTGGAAAGAGCGAGATATGAAACCGAGCAAAAAAGAAGCGGAGGGGGAGGGGACGGGAAGGGGAAGAATAGGTGTCATTTTTCTCGCGGGCACGTAATTGAAACAGGAACCCCAAAACCCCCGATTATTCCTCAAGCCCATCACAAGAACGCCTGCTCTGCAGGATACCACTATTATGAATTACTTATTTGCTGATATTTAAATTTAGAATACTTAATATTTAAAAATTTAAATTTAAAATACCAATAGTCTAAATGTGCAAAATTGTCATAATTTTAAATAATGCGGATAACAATCATCTTTATCATCATCTTCTTCTTCAGCACCATCATCAACATCCTCACTATTTCAAAAATACTGAAAAAATACTTGAAAAGTCTTGGAATTTTCAAAGCTTTTACTAGTACGAACCCTGGTGTTATGACTATTGAATATGAAAGTAGTGTGCAAAATTAGTTGTGTATGCCGTCAATGAACTAATACTAAATTTTAGTTGAACTGATACTAAAATTTTAGTTGGATATCTAGGTACGTTATAATTTGTTATTATTGGGTACACTATAATTCATTGTTAAAAGCTTCAAAGGTGGTGCGTAATTAATTAGCCAGCTATAGCTATAGTGTCTTCGTCCAAGCGAGATCCACAAGCATGCCATCAAATAATATGAGAAAATGACAATTTCTTTCCATTAAGATACAGACATGCTTCATAAGTCAATCACCAACCATTCACGTGATTTTCCTTAACAATAAACTAAACAGTGAAGTTACCAGGTACAAAACTAGGGTGCAGTGAAGGAGGATGTGGAGCTTGTACAGTTATGGTGTCCAAATATGATCACAGCAACAGCAAGATATTGTATCCTTTACAGACTGATTTAAATTTATCATAATATATCTTCGAATTGTTTTATGCAGTAAGATCGTAATTTCTGGGGTTAGACGGTTCATTAAGAAGTGTTGAGTTACACAAGGCTCCATTAAAATCCTGGTCTCTCACCTTACCGAATCATAACGTAGATCCACAGGTAGCCCAAGCTATGTATGAGTCACGGCTTGGAAGAGCTGATATGCGAATAATATATTTACAAAGAACATTTATCGAAAACAAATGAATTAAATTACGCCGACCTGTTCTTTGTGTTTTCATTCATTATTGGGGACGGTACTGCCCAATACATTATAATCAGTTTAGAATCATGGGCCGTGGGCTACTGATATGTTACGCTGAGTCGGGAAGCTTCAATCAGCGGTTTAAAAATGACAACTAACCGTGGAAAAACGTTGTTAAAATTCCGTTTGAACCCCGACAAACTGGAACGGTACCTTAGCCCTGGACAAGGTTTGAATTATTCTTTTCTTTACAAAGCGAACAGACACTTTACAGCAAATGCTTGTCTTACTCCAGTGTGTTCTGTTGAAGGCATGGCTGTAACTACAGTAGAAGGGATTGGTAGCACTAAAACAAGATTGCACCCAGTACAGGTAATATTGAATGTACAAGATGTGTCTGTGGTTACACCCACTAGCCTGGCTACTGTTTCACCAGAGTAATTCAAAACCATTATTATATGTTTTTCTAAACATCCGCACAAAACTTTTAACAAAACTTTTTTTAACGTAACTTGATATCTTGACGTACTATAAGAGGTCAAAAAACGCGCGTATGTTCAAAAGCTTTGTAACTCGCCATTCCAAGGGCTTGATCCGGTAGCTAATAAATCTTTGCGAAACAAAGAAGATCCGTGGCTTTTGTTCTTTGAATACGCCTCGAACGAACATTAAATTATGTCAATAAATACTACATTACGAAATACCCCTTTTCCCCTAAAAGGGTAATAATTCTTATTAGGTCATTAATGCCCACGATGCATTTTCCGGCTTGTACAATTACGCTGCACTGGTACATTAAGCTAAGCCTGCATGATCTTTTTTCAGCTAGTTATCATTTCAATGTAAGAGGTTTTCTGTTGTATGTGTTTGATTGATAATTCTTTTTCAGGAAAGAATAGCCAAGTCKCATGGATCCCAATGTGGGTTTTGTACTCCTGGTATTGTAATGTCAATGTATACATTRTTGAGAAATAACCCTCTGCCTACTCAAAGTCAAATGGAAAGTGCTTTTGAAGGTAACTAAAATGTAGAAATAAAAAGTACTTTTCAATTTATCTTCTATGCGCATTTGATCACATTCACATGTTAAAGTCTCTTTTTATAAAACATTAAATATTATCATTATTATTATTTTACATCTGAGTTTTTAAAAACTCATACACACTGATAATGTATAATGCATGCTTTTAAATAATTTACATATATGAGAATATATATAAACTATATATTTGTACTGCGGTTGTAATGTATTTAATTGATCTGATCCTCGCAGTATATCAAGGAACTCATGGAGCTGCAAATTTAAAGACTCAGAAAAAATAATTGGCATAATTTATGTAAACTAGGTACATGATATTGCTATTTACATACCAGTCCACATGTAAATCATATAATTTTTTTGATTTTCAGGAAATCTTTGCAGATGTACAGGATATCGCCCCATTCTTGAAGGCTTCAAAACATTTACAAAAGTAAACAGTATTAAATTATATATAACATCAAAAATTGAGATGAACAACGTGTAATTAAAATGCAAACCTTTTCTATTGTGACCAGGAGTTTTGCTGTGGTGGCAGTGGTAATCAAAATGGATGTTGTATGCAGCAAATGAATGAACGTATGGATGGAGATGAAGATGGAGGTGTAAGTTGGTGGTAATGTTCTCAGTGATAAATATGTTAGCAAATAGGTTACAATAAATTGATATAATCTTGAATTTCCTTCTCACAAAATCTCAAAGTTCTAGCAAATCTTTATAAGATTCAATTCAATATTAAGTACAATAATACTCAGTGTATCTTTAGGCACTAACCTAACACAGCGGAGCTCCCATTGTAGTTAGAAACAATTGAAATAAAACTTAAAGGCGAAAATAAAATCGGCAAATATTCTTTAACTATCCATTATTTAAGATAAAGATAATGTCCTCCATAATGAAGACCAGTAAAAAATCCAATCAAAATGCACTACATCCTTTTCATCGCGAGTTTTTGTTTTCCACCTTACACAGCCCAACACAATGACCAACCACAACAGGGAGCTAGTTTTGTTTTCGAAAAAAGTTTCGATAAAGTTTTCCATGGACAACATATTCACGCTTTGAGTTGATAGTTTTACTCGAAAAACAAAAAATAGCTACAGATTATAATGTAACACAATATAAGGTTTAAAGAAATTTACCTACAATACCGTTCATTCAAATCCAAAATTTGGAGATTTCCCAATTTTTTTAGGACAAACCAACAATATCAAACTTAAAAACTGGTAAAAATATACTGAGCAAAAATAAGCCTACTTCTACTTTTTTTTTTTTTTTTTTTTTTTTTCTTAACGATTTTTAGGTATCCATATGAAGAGTTTTATATTTCTTAATTATGAAAAGGTTCCTTTTAAATGGATGTGAAATAAAGACGCTCCCTATAGTGGTCCTATGATGTCCACATCCAGTAAAAAGACCTTTGAAGCTCCGAAACCATATTCGTCCATTAAGTTTCTTTTTATGCACTTTACTGATATTTTGGTTTATTTGGTTTTGATATATCTTTTCGATTATGAAAACATTTTTTTTTTTAGTTAGTTAAAAATTTGTGTGTGTGTGTGTGTGTGTGTGCATTTGCAAGTAGTTTTGCCTTGAAATCAATAGGAAAAGGAATTCTGTGGTGTGTACAAGGACGTACGTACAGGCTAAAGTGACCTATTCAAGCCATGAAAAATCAACTCGATGGTTTACCATTTTTTCTTAAGTATGGTGCTCCGCTATAGCATGTGACGACAAAATTAATTTAGTGTATAGATTATAAGATTGAGTATCCAAGTTCAGTAAAAGTTCTTGTCACGAGTCAACTGCTCCCAGTCAGTTTATTAAACCAGGAAAGCACAGCTGGACTTTAATTCAGACATGAAAATCATTTAATCATTTAATGATGAATGCTAGCAAAAAAAGAGTAGACATACTTTATAAAGAAAAGCATAAGAATCCTCGTTTTCTTGAATTAATAAAAGTCGCTTATAAAAAATAATAAATAAATATTCAAAAAAGATCTAAGGCTAGAGGAAAAATGAAGAATAAAAAAAAAAGAATCATTCTAATACGGTGAGAATCGAACCCGCGTCCATGAAACTTTAATTAGATAATTAATTCCAAAATACAGAGGAAAAAAATTAGTGCCTTCATGCCATACCCCGAGACATCCGCTGGGTCGTCGTATGGACTTCGGACATGACGGCGATTAAGTCCCTCTGCCCTTGGTTGTACGGATTACGCAGTATTGTGTTCTAGCCGAAGCATCAGGGGAGAGACTAGCCGGCCCCCAGACCATATCTACAGCTAATCCCTTGCACTCTGCCACGCACTGGCATGTTGATTTGAAGTGGAAAATAATCTAGTCTATCTGGTGCATTCTTTTCATGGCTTTTGTTGTGTTAATTTCCAGAAATCGTGGCCCAGTGGAAAAAACGTGGGCTAACACGACACTGAGTCAAGCACGCTTGAGGGAGATTAGCACTTGGATGGGTGACCTAAAATTTATAATTACCCAATACTGTTTTTGAAATGCTTTAAATATTATTTTTCTCTTGTTTTAATGTTTTGTTTGTTTGTTTGTTGTTTTTGTTGTTGTTGGTTTTTTTTTTGTTTATTTTGTTGTTGTTTTTTCTGTTTTGTTTTGTTTTGTTTTGTTTTTTTGTTTTTTGTCGTTTCGGCTTTTTTGTGTCTTCATCTCTTCATGTTATTTTCATGAGGTAGCGCGCATAGCCTTCAAAATCACCCCCTGATACCTTAAGCCTTCAAACCATCAGAAAACTCTTCCAATTCTAACAACTATAATTTATTAACTATTTCCTGTGTATAAGTAGTTATTCCATTTAGCAAGTAATATGTAAAAAAAAAAAACGTTTTTTGAGGCTGAGAGTAAAACAAGTTCACAATTCGTTTTGTTTAATCATGCTGGCTGGAAATAAAAGCTAAATATATCATGGGGAATGCCTGTGTAATATATATTTCTTTTTATATTTAATTTAAAAGTAAAATAAATTATATATCTATTGAAAGAAAGACTAATTTGATTATTCAAATATATTATCTATAGAAATATTAAAACTACTGAAGGAAAGTCTTCTTTGGGTTGCCGATAGGAAGCAAACGAAACTGCCGTTTTAGAGCTCCGCTATAATTTTGTACAGATACTATAAAGATTATAAGTATTTATAGTTCCATTATACGTAAAATCAAATATGAATTCTTGGCCAACTTTTGTACGTCAACGGTGATATAATTTGAGTCTTAATTTAGTGTTTGGTTATGTTTCAGAACTGTGAGGCACTGTTTGATGCAAAAGAGTTTTTGCCTTTGGATCCAACACAAGAGCCAATCTTTCCACCGGAACTGATGGTAACTGTGGCATTAAATTTGCTATTTGTAAATATTGATACTTTTTTTAAAAGAAAGGGGCAAAAACAAGGACCTGTTACCGGGTCCTAGTTAGCAAGGTGCCCCGTACACTGTGGTAAAGTAGATAACGCATGCTATATAGATCCCTTGCGTGTGACGTCGATCTGGGGGACAAAACAATGGAAAAAACATTACATAAGAAATGTTTTCAAATTTCAAGGGAGGAAAACTTAATCGTTGTAACCCCCGATAGGGAATTTAGTGCAAGGGGTCTATGCGATTAACTCTGCATTCTGCAGAATTTCTATGCGCAGCCCTTTTTCTGGAAAACGAGCTGTAATACTGAGATATTATTCACTTAAGTCTTTGAAATTGAGTTACGTCCAACTTAAAACACTTAGATATATGCGTAATTATGGTGAGTCCAAGACTTTGCATACAAAGCGCATCCAAAAAGCAAACTACTGAAACTGATGACAAAATGCTTTGTCACCAAGAAGGATTTCTGTTAACAAGCCTAGCTAGCGTTTCGTGTATCTCTCGAAACCTCGGAAGTAGATTAAACACAAAATACTCTTAATTATGCTTTTTCTCATAACTATTCTAGTTGCCACAGGCTACCCAGCCACGCAGCTTGCACATTAAAGGTGATTATGTAACATGGATAAGACCTTCAACATTAGAGGAACTACTGGAGCTAAAGAATACATACCCACACGCTAAGCTGGTGGTTGGAAATACTGAAATAGGTATAAAAACATGGATATATCTGATTTAAGGATAAAATTACTGACAACTGCATAGCTGAATGGGCCTAAAATAGTAATTTATTTGATCTCAAGGAATCGAGACAAAATTCAAGAATCAGAATTACCCGATCCTGATTGCATCTACTCACGTCCCTGAACTGAATGTTGTGCAACAGACAGACACAGGTGTGATCTTTGGATCATCTGTAACTTTGACAACCATTGAGGAGACACTGAAGGATCTTGTGGAACACTTGCAAGGTAACAGCACTTGATTGCGACAATCATACTCTCAATGTCTAGAAGCTGCGTTATCTAAAATAAACCCGCGGATTGGCTTTGTGCATGATGACCACAAGGCTGCGTTGTTTTATTTGGACAAAAGACACAAGTGTCTGACAAAGCATCACCATCGAAACTGACAGCCAAGTATCGTAAACGTAAAGCGAGATTTTCTCTCTTCTCTCTTGGCTGACATACGGGGCGTATCCCTGATTTACCATGAGGGGGATCGTTCCCCAATAATCTCAACATGTCCCTCTACTCCCATTCCTACAAACGAAATTGCTACAAATTAAAACTGCAAATGGAAAGAAATTCACGTGACCCTAACCCGAAGCAAACACTATAGAATTCACATCTAGTCTGATACCAATATCCAAGAGAGCAATAGCAAGGGTGGTAGAAGTATCTGTTGTCAGTTTGCTAGCGCCCAGCCCTGCATGGGGTGATGAATCCTTAATCCCTGGTCATTGCCAATATGTCATTCTTTAATCTAGAATTCCAGACCAGAACGTATTCAGCGATTCTAGAAACACTGCGATGGTTTGCTGGTCAGCAAGTCAGGAACGTGGCAGTAAGACTATTAAATATAATTTAAGAAATTTAGAAAATATTTTCCTTACGAGATTTGAATCTCTTGTGCCTGCCTTACTTGTATTTGCATATCTGTCTGTCTATCATTTAATTAATATCCTATCAAGCAAAATATGATTTACTTTCAACACTACATTACAAAGTAAAGTATTTTACTTAATGATTTATTTAATGCATAAAATGCCACGCCCACCACTACGAGTACTCTTTTACTTACCAAAAATTAAGGACCCATTTAAGAATCTAGATAGCCTGATTTCAAGTTGAGCACCATTTATATAAGAACCTGTTCAGGCTGACTTTGAAAAATCTAGGTTCCTATACGCGGGGTTTTACTGTATTGCTATTTTCACACGTGAAAAAGTGATACGGGTAAAGTTGTTATTGGTTAAGAACTTTGAACGAGCAAAAATAGAGTAAAACTATAATTTTTATATATGAAACAGGTTGTTACTGAGTAAATCTTAGTGTGCATATAATAAGTAATATATACAGTATGAGTGGCCGTGTTGTATCAGATATACAACCACGAGGCGTAGCCGAGTGATTGTATATCTGATACAACACGGACACGAACTGTATATGATTTATCAAACGTCTAGGTTAGTTCCTTTGTGTTTCACTAAAATTTTCAAAATTAAAGTGAATTTGGCCAAGAAAATCCAACTTAAAGTTTATGCAAATGAACACAATTTTGTATCAGATTTACAACACTCTTCACGGTCTAGATTTCTGTTGTGTTGTCCTCATGAATTATTAATGAGTTTGATAAACATTTTTATTGTTTTTGTCTAAGTGTGTTGGTGGTAACATCATAACAGCAAGTCCAATATCAGATCTCAATCCTATCTTCATGTCAACTGGATGTACTCTTACCGTAGCATCAATTGGTGGTACGTCAGTCACTGACTGCTATTTATTCTTAGAATAAAACAAGGAGTACAAACAAAATGGCAATTTGWTGATARTAAATAGTATAAAYAGAGTACYGACTGTTGTTTAGATGGATTGTTAACTATGATCAGTTTGTACACATCAACTAGTAGTAGTTACCTGCAWTTTGCTTTATAYTTCTTCCAGGAAAACAAAGAGAGATCAAGTTTGATGAACATTTTTTCCGTGGTTACAGAAAAACATGCCTTGAACCCAACGAGGTTTTGATATCCATCCACATACCTCACACCCGTCAGGTATTCTAACCTCTTCTCCTACTTTGGTTTTACTATCATACTGTTCTAACAATACTAGGATTTCCTTATTTCAGAATGAGTACATGTTTGCCTATAAACAAGCTCGACGTCGTGATGACGACATTGCCATCGTGAATGCTGGCATGAGAGTGAGGCTAGAGAAGAATGACRTCACTAATTTGTTAATGATAAAGGAATGTAGTCTGTGTTATGGTGGAATGGCACCAACTACTGTCATGGCCTTGAAGACATCTAAAGCACTCATTGGAAGGTAGGTTATTATTAGTATACGACTTTATGTTTCCAAAATTATGCAACCCAAATATTTTATTTACTATTCAAGAACTTAGAATAGAGGACCTCAAAACATCTTCTCTAGCCCGTGAAATAAAAAATACTAGTCAACGTGTAATAGTCAAATAGACACAAAAGTAGACAATGGAATTAGGGTCTACTAATGTGCATTAGTCTAATATCTATTGCACAGGTTTAATGATTTCACTCTATTAAATCGTTTTTAAGTATATTCAAGAACGCTAGATTTTTGACTTCCATCTATCAAAGACTGTTATGATTTTGGATGGAAAGTTTATTTTAAAAAGACAAGGCTTCAGGAAATAGTTATTATATTCACTAAAGATTTCTAACCACTGATCATGTTGACTGTTGTGTAGGGTTTGGGATGAGAGTATAGTTGAGTTTGGTTGTAGTTTATTGGAACAAGATTTACCACTAGCAGCAAATGCACCAGGTGGACAAGTCAGTTATCGACGTTCTTTGACCACCAGTTTCTTCTTCAAGTTCTATCTCATTGTCACTCACAAACTCAGCCAAACTCTTGTAAGTTCACAGATTTTTACTTTTCACTATTATTTGCTTGATATAAAAGCACAGCCATATCAGATCTGAGTCATGTTTCTTATTCTTCAGGATTCTTGCGTTTCTCGTCCACCAAGAGAATGTAGGAGCGCAGCGAAATTCGTAGAGCGTATTCCAACGCGAAGCAGTCAAACCTTCCAGGTAAAAATGTAATCTCCAAGTCTATTACTCTACTATTCAAGTTTTGTAATTGTGGCGAAAAACTGGCAACGAGTTGGACGCGCCATGAATAATGGGGCTGTTTGAGGGGGCTTTTACCTATATAAATATCTTGTTGCAGGAAAAGACGAGTTATAAGGTTGTTTTGTGTTTTGTTTTGTCTTATACATTCGTCAAATTAAGCCGCGACTATAACAGACACCCATGCCACCCTTAACAATTTCTTTCGTAATAACACTTCGTTTTCTGAATCAATTGTAATTCAGAAAGTCCCACGAGACCAGTCTGTCGATGACGTAGTCGGAAAACCAATACGTCACCTGTCGGCCCTTAAACAAGCTACTGGAGAAGCTGTTTACATTGACGACATGCCCAAATATAGAGGTTAGTTATGACGTCATGTCTACGTAAAGGGGTTGGTTATGAAACTTTCTATGAATTATTGTTTTACAAAATTATAATAATCAGAACAAAATAATAAGATTATGATCAAAGCCAATCAACATGTCGTAATGTTGCCATTATAAACGTCATGGAATTAAGAGTTTTTAGTTTCAAGAAGAGCAATGTGTTAAACTGAGAAGTGTAGCCGAGTAGCAATGATGCAGTATAGCAGTGCAGAGACGTGCCCACGCCCATAATACAGCTTGGGCTGCCTATGGTTAGATGGCAGAACGATAAAATCCTTTTGCTTTTGGGATTTTTTTTTTTTTTTTTTTTTTTTTTCTTTGTTATTTAAATTTTTTACTTTTGTGTAAAATGATTGTTCCTGCCATCTAACATGGCTGCCGTCACGTGTTGGTGCAAAACCTCTATAAACGTTCATTGCTGCAAGATATGTATGCTTTCTAATGCTGTTGTTTTTACAGATGAGTTGTTCTTAAGCCTCGTACTCAGCCAAAGACCTCACGCCAAAGTCATGTAAGCTGTGCAATAAAACACATTTCCTTTTTAAGTAGAAAATTTGGACATTGAAAAGTGGAGCACCCACGATTTATTGGTAACACATTCAATATTGTATTCAGTTCTTGGTCTTCGACAGTGGCGTAGCGAGGGGAGAGGGGCTGGTTAAACCTGTGGATAAGGCGGGGAACTCTAAAAGAAGATATTTTTTATTGGGGGTGTGGGGAGGGGATTCCAAGATTTAAATTTTTTTTAAATAGTTGTAGCCCTTTCCATTTCACTCAGTATATAATAAATTCGTGACGCCTCGAGTCAAGTTAACAAGGCAGGGACTTAGTTTATCGAGGCAAACGAGCGACGAAGGTGGGAAACCTGGCTTCGCCCCTGGTTTTCGATATCAACTTTTGGTTACTAGTCTTTCTATTGGTCATAAATTGCTTCAGAGCCAGTAATGCAATAAGATTCAGCACGAAGGCCATGTGTCACCTAATCTCATTTTTTAGATCAGTGGATACAAGTGAAGCAACCATGATGCCTGGTGTTCATGCATATATCAGTGCCGATGACGTACCAGGCTCTAACCAGTTTGGACCTGTTGTTTCCGACGAGCTGGTCTTTTACAATGAAGAGGTAAGAAGTAAACTAAAATATATAGAATATAATCTATAATCTTTGGTTCCTTCCCGTATTACGTCATGACCACTATGTTGGTAAATTAGATTATACAATATTTCACAAGAACAAACTTCCCTTATTGTTATCAGCAGCATGGCTGCTATGCTTTCTATTTGGATTAATTAATCATGTATCCTATCATTCGACTAAGTCAGGCGTCTCCTAAATTCTGATTGGTTGCCCAAATAATTGACTGCAATTAACGTGTGAAGCATGCGCACACGTGATTTAATCTCGTGGTTACCTACAACAACAGTGTAATCATGTGCATTAGCAACCACTAGTTCATGTAAACATTACAGCTCGAATCCTTCGGGGAGAAGAAGTTGGGAGAATCGTGGAAGGAAAAGCTAGCAAAAATATGAAATGAACTGAATAAATTATTCAAATCGGAAAACAATTACTGTTGAATAAGCAATGTGCATCAAATCTCAAAATACTCAATACTCTGTTATTTTCGTCTGTTGAAATAATTACATTTGCCATAAAAAACGTTGAAGGAAAAATTGTCAGATGAATTTTCAGAGGATCCGAAAAAGCGTAAGTAATCGGTATCCCATCATGCTTTCTGCTCAGTACAAGAGATTCACGCTTGTGCACATTGCCTATACGCAAGTTAACCGGCAAATCTCAGTTATGACTCTTCAGAAAGTTCACTCGGTCCTTTACCGATGTCTAATACTCGATTATTTACATTTTCGGCCAGTAATTAGTCTTTTACAATAAAGCACTCGAATATTGGACACTGAATTGAGTTTCGAATTCCCTGTTCTACGGGGTTAGTCTCGATTTTGTATGAAATTACTTATATTCATCTGTGGAATTACAAAGTGTTTGTATTGTTGAAGTCGTGCATTCTTTACTTTATCTTTGGTATTTGTGAATGTTCGGACACTGAAACGAGGCTAACCCTGTATAAATGAGTCTGTAATCAAAGATAACAGCGGTATTTGAGGCATTCGAACACGGTCAAAATTGTATGTGTTGAAGATCACCTTTGACGTTAAATCTATTAGTATATATGTCATATCAGGAGCAATTATTAAATTTCTATTTTCTTATATGTGCATATCTAAGGTGACGTCAACAGGACAGGTGATTGGTGCTATTGTAGCAGAAACTCAAGCCCAGGCTCGACGTGCTGCTAAGGCCGTGAAGATTGAGTACGAAGATCTACCAAGGATCTTGACCATTGAGGCTAGTATTAAATATTTCCCCTTTAAGCTTAAAAATTGCTATTACGTATACTTTGTCCTTTGAAAATTATATACGTACAATCCCGGGAAGAAAGACTGACCCCAATAAAAAATAAAACATTGATCAGTGCAATAAATATAATTTATTACTAGGACTTCATACAGTAAACCTGTGTTATAAAAATCTATTTCCCTAATTTTAATTTTTTTATGCAGGAGGCAATAATGGCCCAATCCTACTTTAAACCAAGCGTGTGTCTAGAGAAAGGCGATCTAGCTGCAGGATTCGCTAGGTCGGACCACGTGATTGAAGGAGAGATGAGAACTGGGTCTCAGGTAAGATGATAATGATGGTGATAATGATGATAATGATGACGTTGATGATGGTTATGATGATGATGATGATGACGATGATGACGGTGATGATGACGATGATGATGACGGTGATGATGATGATGATGATGATGGTGATGACGACGATGAGGAGGATGATGATGAGGATGATGATGATGATGATGATGATGATGATATTGTTTCAATTTGTAGGAGCACTTTTATCTGGAGACTCAAGGTACAATTGCTGTGCCGAAAAATGAAGATGGAGAAATGGAGCTGTACTGTTCGGCTCAGGACTTGACGCTTACTCAGTCTGTAGTAGCCAAGGTGCTGGGAATACCTGGTAACCGTATTGTAGTACGAACAAAAAGACTCGGTAAGAAGGAGAATGATACCCTTGTATACATGGGAATACCTGGTAATCGTATTGTAGTACGAACAAAAAAGACTCGGTAAGATTTAAAGAGAATGATACCCTTGTATATACATGGGAATACCTGGTAATCGTATTGTAGTACGAACAAAAAGACTCGGTAAGATTTAAGGAGAATGATACCTTTGTATACATGCATGTACAAAAACATTGTCTCTGTTTTGATAAAATACGTAGCTTCATTCATTAAGTATAAAATTCAGCATTAAGTATAATATAAAAGAACACATGCATAGTTGCATAATCATTAAAGCCATCGGTCGCAAGAGAAAATGTACCATATGAGGGAGGTAACGTCTTTGGCTTATTCTAATTGATCGGACAAAAAAACGTCCTGATATAACTGTGCTTGGCATTTTTCCCACACTCCCTCCCTTAAACAAAATGTTGTTATGCTATTTTCCTATATTAGGAGGAGGATTCGGTGGTAAACAGACTCGTTCTATATTCCTGACGTGTGTCGTTGCTGTTGCTGCTAACAAGTGAGGAATCATGTAATTTATGAACACTTAGTTTTAATGTGAAGGGTTATTTCACTTTGAAAATATAAAATTGTCAGTTATCGAGTAAGATCTGGTTCTGGTACAAAGTATGTATATACATACAGTCAATTCAAAAAATGTCGTCGTCGACCGGCTCAAGCCTACGCGACTGGACCGAAAGGAATATGGGTAAAAATCACTGAAGCGGTAAAATATTCGTTCTGAATAAATTGTTCCCGCTAGTAATAAAATAATAATGGCGAGAAACAATCCATCAAATGCATGTYTTTGGGTTTAGGGAAAGAAAAACAAAGTAGTTATGATTCAATTCACAATTCCGAAACTAWGAAGGCATTAAAAAAACGTCTCCTCCAACACTTCCCGCTCGCCTACGAAGGTTCGTGCTGTAAACCAGGCATAACTAGTCAGATAAAATTACGGAGTCAACTCGGCTTAAATGATTGCTACCCAGAGCTCCTTTCGGTCCTGTAGCGTAGGCTTGAGTTGGTCGACGACAACTTTTTTTGACTTGACTGTATTTTACAAGGGCGCGCGGAGATATGAATTTTATCTTCGAGTGTTGAAAAGATCTCGAATGAACGCAGCGAACGAGTGAGAGATTTTCAACACAAGAAGATAAAATTCCTATCTCCAAGCGTCCATGTAATATTCTGTTTACTGTATAATTATCAATGAAGTATGTTTTGGCTTTTTCAGGCAATTCTTTCCGTGTATTTTTGAATAGCCATCGCAATGGTGTTATTTTCACACGTGTAAGTAACATGTTATTTTCACGTGTGAAGATATCGACTTTTCGAAATAGAGAAAAATAGACATTTCATTGGTAATGATATAATAAATATAAATAATATATGTCCTTGGAATATCAAAGTCTTGCAATGGCTTATTTTGTGAATATATCCTTCATATATATAGCCATATCTCCAGTCAATAAGAACAGCGGTATTTTACGGATTTAATAAAATGTCTCTATTGTCTACTTTCACATCCCCATAATATCTTGCGTTTTTGGGGGTAAGCAATCAAAAAACTGTCCCAAATTGAAAGGTTTCTTAATTGAATTTATACTATACCTGCTTTTATCTGTACAATAATGATTATCAGGTTGATGGTTCCGACTGAATTGAAGTTGAGTAAAAAAGTAAGCCGAGTTTGCATTGCAATGAATTGTGGGACGGTTTAAGGAGACATAATTTCAAGATGGCGTCTTTTTCATCCCCTAAAACAGTCTTACGATGCACTGAGATTTTTGCTCGACCTCAGAACGGCTAATGACATATATTCATTGATTGATTGATGTGGTTTTATTAATCAAAAGGATGGGGCGTCCTGTGAGGTGCACACTAGATCGAGACGAGGACATGAAGGCAACAGGAATGAGGAATGCCTTCCTGGCTAAGTACAAAGTAAGAGGACTCGCTATTGATAAGTAATGTAAAGAGAAGAGAAGAGAAGAGAAGAGAAGAGAAGAGAAGAGAAGCAAACAAGAATGTGTGTTTTTATTATACCTTTGTAAAGTGATATCTAACGAGTAATGTGCCAAAGCTGTTAGAACTAAAATCTTACATTCTACTTTTTTATCCAGGTTGGTTTCAAGCAAGATGGCACCATCCAGGCATTAGATGTTAACTTATACAACAATGCCGGTTACTCACTAGATTTATCTCGCTCTGTAAGTGCATGTGAAGTTAACCCGGCGATAGAACGTAATTCATATTTTGGTATAGACATCTTGACATAGTGTATTTTGAATATATATTATGATGTCCTCGTCTTTTCTGTCTGTTTCTTTCCATATAAGGTTATGGACCGTGCTGTGTTTCACTCTGAAAACTGTTACCGAATACCCAACATCCGAGTAGAAGGCTGGTGCTGCAAGACCAACATCCCTTCCAACACAGCATTCAGAGGATTTGGTGGTCCCCAGGTAGACTGCACCTAAAAATGAAATAGTCAAACTTGAATCCACTGATCCCAAAACACGGGGACTGAATAGGAAATGCTTTTCGGTAGACGGTAGCCAGAATAACAAATAAAACAGGAATCTTTCTCCTTTTCTCTCGTTTTCAAATGAATAGAACTTTAGTATTTGTGCTCGTCATAGTGCCACCGATTCTTGTCTACCCAAATATGCTTTGCCCAGGAGAGTCTCTTAACGGCAGATTAAAATTGTCATTAGTTTCTTTCGTTAGGTACACCAATGTGACTGCCATCTCTATTGTTAGTTAACTCTCTAGGGACTGATTGAAAGGTTCGTATTACACGACACACTATCAAAACACGTATATTTATTGTGTTTAGGGAATGATGTTTGCTGAATCGTGGATCAACGATGTCGCAAAGACTTGTGGGATTTCCCAGAGTAAGGTATGTATTTTCCCACTGTTTTACCAGGCATAATACAGTTTTTTGACCAGCAGTTTAATACTTTCCAGGTTCGTGAGATGAACTTTTACAAAGAAGGTGACTTGACCCACTACAATCAAAAGCTGACAGGCTGTAATATCAGTCAAGTATGGAATGAACTGTTAGAAAAATGTGATTATGAAAAGAGAAAACACGACGTGGAGCAGTTCAACAGGTAACATTAAATAAATTTTGACTAAATTTATCTTCACGTGGCTTGCGTCAAAGCACAGTCCGGATTCACGGCCAGGAATCTCTCCTGAAAATAAAAGTTGACAGTTGACAGGATGAGTGTGAGTGAACTCAGCTATAAAATACCATAGATTCGTTGATTCTTCAACTCTTATATATATTTTTTTCTATTATAGTTGCAATCGATGGAGGAAGCGTGGACTAGCAGTGGTCCCGACAAAGTTTGGAATTGGTTTCCAGGAACTTTTCCTCAACCAAGTATTATTTCTATTTTTTCAATAATTTTAGTTTTGTTTGTCTGTCCGTGAATCTGTCTTTGGTTTCCTATAATATTCAGTGCGGGTCTTTGAGTGTGGCTTCTTGATTGAGTATTTTTGTTGCACTCTCGTTCCTCTCCGTTCCTCTTGCTTATATTACTAACATTGATAACAATAGTTGCCTAGACTTTACCTCTATTTTGGTATCAAGAAGCGGGTAGAATAGACCTCTTAACTTTGAGCATAATATTTAATGAAGAAATAGAAAACGCGCCCGCGTGCTGTGTACAGTTATAAAACATGCGGGGATTGGCAGAACACGTGAGAAGAGTTAGGAGAAGCACGACCCGTAGCGGAGTGCTTCTGGACACTTCTCGAGTGTTTTGCCAATCCCCAAGTGCTTTATAACTCCACACAGCACAGTAAGCAAGTTTGTTATTTCTTTTATGAAATGCAAAGGGCGCGAGTGTGCTGTTTGCTCTCATAAAGCACGCGCTCCCAACCAATCAGAATGCGAGATTTATAACAGTTATTTTATAATATGATGTAATAGGCTGGTGCCCTGGTTCACGTGTACACAGATGGGTCAGTCTTGGTTACTCATGGAGGAACAGAAATGGGACAAGGTCTGCACACGAAAATGGTCCAGGTATGGTTTATCGATTGCATTCTGATCATAAAGAGTCCTTGCTAGTATTTATTTGTTAGAACGAGATTCACACACTAGTTAATTACTAACGCAAAGAGTGCATGGAAATACTTCATGGTATTGCCTTTTTGTATCTTGCACTTTGTTATTAATTCCTAGGTAGCAGCTCGTGCTCTGGATATTCCGATCTCCAAGATCCATCTGAGTGAAACAAGTACAAATACCGTCCCCAATACCTCCCCCACTGCAGCATCTGTGTCCTCTGATCTAAATGGCATGGCTGTCAAGGTATGATAGAATACAATGAATGAGATCACCTGTCTACAAAATGCTATGAGGGAGAAAGCCAGGGGGATACAGAACGAGCGAGAACCATGCATATAATTTTGTTGATGGAGCGACCCTTTTACTTGCATTTTCAAGCAAAACCATTATATCTAAAAAAAAATATCTTCTTTTTACCCTTATTGTAAGGTTGCATGTGAGGAAATAAAGAAGAGGCTTGCACCATTCAAAGAAAAGAACCCTGAAGGACCATGGGGAGACTGGGTAGGTTATTCCCGTTAATGCACTGGCTGTAATCATATAATAGATACAGTATCAATAACAATCAGAGAGAGATGGACCCTGAAGGACCACTGGCTGTAATCATATAATAGATACAGTATCAGTTAACAATCAGAGAAAGATGGACCCTGAAGGACCACTGGCTGNAGATACAGTATCAGTTAACAATCAGAGAAAGATGGACCCTGAAGGACCACTGGCTGTAATCATATAATAGATACAGTATCAGTTAACAATCAGAGGAAGATGGACCCTGAAGGACCACTGGCTGTAATCATATAATAGATACAGTATCAGTAACAATCAGATAGAGAGACTGTAAACTGCTACTGGTGAAAACATAACATATTTATGTGTTTGTAGGTTAATGCGGCCTACTTGGAACGCGTTAGTCTGTCTGCGACTGGCTTTTACAAGTAAGTAAATGATCAGCTTTACTTACACAACTACCATATTTATTGACAACGTTAAATTACTCACCTTGAGGTTTAGTAACACCTATTAAACATCTAAAGTTTTAAAAACCTGCTTTTGTTTATGAGTTTATGGTGACGTAACGATGACGGTGGGCTCATGCTAAAACGGAAAACTTCCGAGTCCCGAAAGACAAAAGGGGACCTCTGCATCCATTATTCTTTATACACATTAGAATATAGGTGGCATAATCATTCGCCTCAGGCTCAGTGATTATAGGAGAATATTTACCGAGTCGCGAGTAAAACATGGCGCACGCGCAATCCTAAATTCAGCTGTAGGTGATTATCGAGAAATAATTATCCGAAGTTCTCGACAAATCAGCTCCGATTTTCTATAATCTACTATGCTAATTATTATCATTCCTATTTTTATTAAACAAGAGCATCTAAATAAAACATGTAAAAACTGTGTTGACGGTCAGTATTCTAAAATGCCAAGTATGGCCGGCTAGATTCCGTGACTTCCACAACGCAAATGTCTGAGTTCTTTACTGCATGACTGCTGTCAATCAAATTTTCAACTGTCTGGGTTAGAATATTTTGATTGACGGAAGCCAAAAACCAGACGTCTTAACTATGAGAGGCCTGAAGGGGTAAAATGGGAGTTGGGTTTCGCCTTTTTGGGCTGGAAAACCCTCAATACCCTCAATTATAGCTAGTTGTCCGCTGCTCACATAATTATGACTGAATGAATCTGTCTTCTTGTATCTAGGACCCCTGATATTTGGTTCGATTGGGAACAGGGTTCTGGTGCTCCATTCAACTATTTTTGTTACGGCGCTGCATGTTCTGAGGTCGAGATCGATTGTCTCACTGGAGATCACCAGGTTATATCTCTACTCTTGTTCCTTTTAGTTTAGATATCTGTAAAGTATAAACCACTGCAGTATAT